CTTTTATGTTTCTAGTTATTGTGTATTGTTTCTGTATTCAGCGCAGATGAACATCTTGTGCTAATCTGCGCTTTATAAATGTAATTTATTATTATTATTATTAGACTAGAACCTGCCTAGGAACAGACACTTCTGGTTGTCACATACGGGACTTTATCTGTGATGTCAGACACGTTTGCTTTGATGAACTTTGAGGGACAGTTTGTCTTCTTGTAAAAACCTATTCTGAATGAGTGTTCCTTTCAAGACATAACAGTTTCTTTACTTTACAGTCAGTATTTGTGACTATTCTGACTCTGAAATAAGGTTGACTCTAAATAAATGAGTCTGTTACCAAGGAACACAACCGTTAGTACTAATTTAAAAATGGCTTATCATAAAATCCTGTTTTGAAATTTCCTGTACTTCAAAAGCCCATGGACTGATTAAGTCTTTTAATTCTTTTAACTTGCTTGCGAGGTGAAACATTTCCCACTTTCAAAGGACTCTGAATTGGCTCTGAACATTTAAGTGGTGTCACAGTTGAAGGTTCTGATAATTCCTTCATTGGTAAATCGAAACTTTGTTCTTCAACTGATTCAAATATTTTTTGTGCTAATACTTCATTGTTCAACTGCGAACTTTCTCCTGTACTGGTTTCTTTAGTAGCTTGCTTTTCATTCTTGTTTTCATTTTTGACATTAACATTAGAGGCGATGGTAGGCACTTCTTTTTCTTTATCTATCTTATCTGTACTTCCCAGATTCAAGGGTACATGTGTGTCAGAAAACCAGTTTTGAAATAAATTTTGGCTCAAAGGGTCTTTATAACTGTCAGCGTTATTTACAAAATTTAGATCTACACATTGAACTTCTGATTTAATTTTTTCCCTGCATTGAATGTTCAGTGTTTGACATTTCTTCACCTGCCTTCCATTCTTGACATCAATTTCACAGCGAGGACATACACACTCTTCATCATTGTCTTGTTCTTCTTGTACAGTGGCATAACTATTGGCTGTAGAAGGATTGCAAAGAAAACATGACTGATGTGGTAGCTCAAGATACATCATCTTCCTAAACAAATCTTCACAATCTGTCTCCAACATGTTGGACCTCAATGGCCATTCATTGTATTCATCATTTTCATTGGCCATTGCCACAAGTTCGTCAATCCAGCTCTTTAAAAAGGTAATATCTGCATCTGAAAATCTTACATTCTTGGAATCTTTACTAGTACTTGGATCATATCGATAGATTCTGCCTTTGCCTTTGTCATTTTGAATAAATGGCTGATAAAATAGGTCACCAGCTGAAGACATTTGAAAGGCTGTAAATCCTTTCCTGTCTTCTTTGGAGCTCAATGGTATGCAACAAACACCAATGAGTGGTTGAGATAAACGATCATCTAAAAGTGAAGAGATTGGGAGAATTGACGTAGGAACATGTGATGGCCATTCATCATAAGAAGATACCTGTTGGTCAAAGAGTTTTTTGTTAGAAAACAAAAACACAATATATATATAGCTACAGTACATATGCTATATGTTAAGATAATCTGGACATTTTTATCCAAACAGCATGTTGGATAACTACATCATTCATCATGAACAACATGACCCCAACAGCTTTAAATTGAATTCTGTTTTTCTCAGGCTGTAAAGCTTTATAACATTTAGTATTATAGATTTAGCAAATGTGCCTTCCTTTTCAAGAAGTGGGTATACATATTCCTCTAAGAAATAGCCTGCATTGCAGACTCCTATACTTGGGCTCTGCTGTGCAGGCTGAAGGCTGAAGATATAATAATGAATGTTTTCTGAAATTAGTAAATAAATTTATCAATAACCAAACACAATATAACCCTGTGACATAATTCTATACTTTCCTAAACCCAACTGATGAATGACAAGTAGTAATGTGACTGACCTTCCAGGGTAGCACTGTTGACACTGGAGGATTCACCAGATTTTCCCCACCATATGGAAAGGTATACCTGACATCACATTCTCCCCAGTTATACTGAAAACAATGAGTCTCATGATGCTGCGACCCTGAAACTGTGATAACCGTGTCTCTTGGTACTGCACTATTTATAACTTCAATATACTGTACTGGGTCTTGGAGGTGGTGCCGCCATTTTAGGACTGGGTGTTGTATGAACCTATCATCCATGATCAGAAGTGACTGGTCTGTTGCTATGACATAGTGGTGAGTATTTTCAGGATTTCGTTGAATTGCTGATATCCGTTCCAGTGTGCTTACTTGTTTGGAAGTCACTGAAAATAGGTTTCTTGAGAAGGAGCCACTTGCCTAATAAGAGGTAAAAAGAGGTTGATCACACTACCTTTATCTCAGTAAAATATGATTAGTATTTTGTTTATTTTAAGCTTTACCTGAGAAAACTAGAGTAGAATATTTTTTTTCAGAATATGCTTGAAAAACTTCAAGACAATGGTTCCAAGGTTGGTTTTGATAGAATACACTAAATGTATCACCACAAAAAGTCCAACCTAAACTGGGAGCCATTGTTTTGTAATCACTCAAGCAAATGTGGAAAATGTCCATACATCTTTTCTTTACTAAATACCAAAGCTAAATTTGATCAATCTCTAATTGTCTGTTGCTATACATCTCAGCTTTGAAACGTCTCAGTCTATGGCTGCTTCCAGAACTATAAAACTTATAATCAAGGTGATGAAGCAGTGTGTTTTTACTTCCACAATGTGTTTGTCACATAATGATTAATGCGCCTACAATTAGTTACCACTGATTTCATTGTTAACCACTGATGCATCACAAGAGAAAATGGTCTCAACATGGAAATCTGGCAATACTCTATCACCAATCAAATGGATCATTAGAGTACATGGGGATCCCCAGAAGATACACTGGGGACTCATTTGATTGATGTTAGTCTATTGCCCGATTTTAATTTTTTAACTGCTTTCTCGATCACCTTATAGCAAAGAAACCATATAACGGGCTTCCTGTGGTAGCTAAGACCAGCAGTGTTCCAAACAAACAAAATGGCAACCAGCAAGCGTGATATTCGATTTTTTTTGTTTGTTATTGTATAATAATTATGGTAATAATTGTAAATAAGAGCTAAGTGTTGACAAAAAGTTGTTTTTATTTGTTGTGCTTGTTCATCTTATTTTAAATCATCAGGCGATATATTAAATAATATAGTTTTATTAAAGTGCATATGACACGAAAAAA